ATCTATCTATCTATCTATCTATCTATCTATCTATCTATCTATCTATCGTGTGTGTGTTCTGTTACTCTCTAGATCCCTGACTAAGTCTGCCCAGTTGTCTAGATGCTTTGGTTCTGCCCCTGCAGTTCTCTGCTCTGAGAAGCTGCTTTGGGTCAGAGAGGAAGGCAGGAAAGAGCTGAGAGAGGCGCCCTTCTCTGTGGTTTCTCTGCCCTCTTGTGGCCGTGGCCTGAATTTGCAGGGTGAGAGGCACAGCCATTCCACAATGATACACTAGGATAAAAGGCTGCTCTCTTCGCTCACCTTGCAGTTTATTGCAGTTCGTTCATTTATTGGTGTTGGGGGTGTGGCAAGTGCTGGCTTGCCGCAGCACATGTGGAGGTCGGAGAACAATTTGGGTGACTGGGTTCTGTCTTTTTATCTTGTGTGACTCAGGAATTGCCCTGAACTGATCAGAGTTGCCAGTGAGCAGCTAACCAGGCTGAGCCATCTCATTGGTCCTACGTTCTGTTTGGCGATGATCAAATCATACATAATATACAAAGCTTCGCCACTGATCAATCACATGTTGTATGAGTTTTATGGAGATATAGTTATATATCTAGATTTTTGGGAGCGAGAAAAGCAGCTACAAGCAGGTTTAAACACATGGTTTGGTCTCGGTCTTTCAAGGTTTAAGGACATAGAAGCTTCTCAAACTATTCCTAAAAGCTTTTACAAAGGATAACTATCTTTTCATTTATTACATTTTTTTTCTAATTTTGTTTTGTACATTTTAGCAATGATTTTTACTTAGTTCTCTGGTACACTGTTTTTCTGGAAAAAAAGAGAAATGGCTTAGTACAAATCCTAGCTTTTATTTTTTTAAGATTTATTTTTAATGTGTATGAGTGTTTTACCTTCACATATGTAAGAGCAGTGCGTGTGTGTGTGTGTGTGTGTGTGTGTGTGTGTGTGTTTCCTGCTTAAAGCCAGAAGAGAGTGTCAGATCCCCTGGCACTGGAGTTACAGGTGATTGTAAGCTGCAAAGATAGGGCTAGAAATCGAATTGTGGTCTTCTGGAAAAGCACCACTCTTTACCACTGAGCCATCTCTGCTGAGTCATCCTAAAAAGATCTTTCCAGCCAAGCAGTGGTGCTGCCGCTTTTAATCCCAGCACTTGGGGGTTTTTTACATTTATTTATTCATTGTATGTGCTGCATGCTCTTAATCCCAGCCCATGGGGGGTTTTCCATTTATTTATTATATGTGTATGTGTGTCTATGTGTGGGCAGGCATGTGCCAAAGCATGAATGTGGGGATCAGAAGATAACCCCAGGAATCGGTTCTCTCTTTCCACCATGTGGGTATGAGGGATGTGTGTGTGGCTGTGTGTGTGCGTGTCTGTGTGTCTGTGTGTGTGGCAAAAGCATATTCATTGTCTTCAGTAGTACTTCTTTTGCACCACTAGGGTGCAAATCCTTTGTCTTGTGCATGTGAGGAAGGTTCTGAATCACTAAATCACACCCCAGTCCTAAAGACTAACACATTCTTGAGAGTTATGTTGTGCCAGATTTGTGAGACCCCAAAAGATCACCAGGAATAGAGTCAATTGAAAAACACATGAGGATCTTTTTATTACAAGCCATAGCCTGGGGCTCACACACCCTCACTGCCATAGCGGTTGAGAGCAGAGAGCCTTGTGTCTGATTTAAAGTATCCATTCCCTCCCAGTTCCTCCTTGCCTGGCAATTGTCTATTAGTCAAAACACAAAAGGGGATGTTGCATTTTGAATTGATTGGCTATAGGAAGGCTCCAAAACCATTAATCATCTGGCTACTCTTGTTTGGCTGTCCTAGGAAAGAGGAGCTGGTTTCTTAACAAATGTATCTCTAGTGGGCAGGAAAAGAATGCAGTAAGGCTGATTCTTCCCAGCGGGTGGCTGGACATGTCTTTACCTGGCTGGTCTTGGTCTCAGCTTTTGCTTTAAACTTTTTATTCTTTGGTCTCTCAGTTAATGATGCACAGATCCTCACATCAAGGCTGGGAGAGGCAACTGATTAGGAGGAAAAGGGTCCCAAGAGTAGGCAAAAGAGTCAGATACACCTCTACTCCCACTAACAAGAGTCCCCCCCAAAACACTAGGCCAACAAACATAACATATATTGTCTCCGGGTTACAGGTGCATCATTTTCCAATAATTTTCCAATGTCTCCGTGTCATTTAGGAGTATACTTTTTCACTGATTTGTCTACTTGAGACTATTGTGAAGAAAAATCCTCCTGCCCCATCTTTCTCGGCAGAGGATTGCAGGCTTACCTAACCCAGCTTTAGGTGTTTAATAATGTCCTTCAGTTCTTCCCAGTGTTTTCTAGAGATTAGAGTCATGGTTTGTGATTTTATCAGGATTGCCACAGAAATAGTTTGTGTCTTTCTCAACACTGCCTACAAGGTCCAACAAGACACTGATTGATGGGTCATTGTTACAGAATTGATTGTTGCTAAGTTCCTGTCAAACAAGTCTCAGAGCTGCAACCTTCTTAATAATTACTAAGCATATTGGGAGGGGCTACATTGGCACCAAGGAAATCTCCTTTTTGGATAGGTTTCATTTACTAATGCTAGAAGTCATAGAGTTTGGTTTTGTTTGCTAGAATTAAACATGCTAGACAGAAAGACAACTCTTCCCCAAGAGTGTGTCATGCAATGGGCTAGATCATGGCGAGACTCCAGACAGCCCCCACACCCCAGGGGCAACAATCAACAGCTCATCCCCTTAGCTTTCAGAGGTGCTTGCCTGGGGTTGATGCTCACTCGGGGTGGAGCTGACTGAGGGTCACCTTCGTCCAGTGTCCCTGAGGGGAAAGAGGGAGGAAGTAAGGTGAATTCTGCCTCGGCTCTTAGATTCTGCACAGAAGAGCATAAATGGCCTAAGCTCTACTTTTGCCAAAATAAACCACAAAGCTAGATCTGTCTACAGGTGGGACTGAGCCTAATCTTACTCTGCTCAGCACAGGTGGGCGGAGATGTGTTTAAATCCTTCCAGGAATCCAACCCTCTCTCTTAGAGTTTACGTTTCAGAAAAGTGAAATGTAGTGAATCTAGTTTCTCCCTTTTTGAAGATGGAGCTGAACTTTTGCTCCTCTGAGTTCTTATTGATCTTGGGTTTGCTTCAGCTAGCAGGAGTTCCAACAGGAATTCCAGGAATGAAAACAAGCTTTAAGACCCTAGACCTGGGCGATGGTGGGCGGGGCCTCCATTCACCAATGAATGCTGCCCTGGTGCTTAAAACCACACCATAACCAGCTTGTGGAAATTGGCCTTCCAGAGCCTTGGTGAAAATGGAGGGAGGCACACAGTAGTCTTGCTTCTAACGTGTGTTGACCGCTGTCTTCGGCTGAAAGTCTCTGACACTCATTGTGATTTCCACAATTTCAGGTTCTACAGAGGCTCATTGTGCCCTAGAGCGATCCTTCTCCCTCAGCAGAGAAAACAAAACGCAGAGTCAGAACTCCACAGGGGCACTGAGGAAATGCCACCTGAAAGGCAGGATTAGAGAAGATCAGCTATGTGAGAAGTGTTCTTTGACACTGCCACCTCCTTCTGTCTTCGTGGCCTAACCGACCCCAGCGCCAAAGGAAACCTGTGCTCTTACCCTGCGGTTTCTGACCTTGAACCACCATGTCTGGTGTGGATAAGACATCTCCCAGTAGATTAAGGGACCTTTCAGCCATCAGGGGGACAACCCAAGAGCTCCCACAGAACGTCCAGCTGACCTGCACTTTGACTTGGACATTGGAAAGCTGTGTCACGGCCTGCACCCAACACCTTAGCAAAGACAATCCAAGTAGTCCCTCTACAAGGCAGCCTTGCAAGCAGGGTAAAACGATGAGCCCTGAACAGCCAGAGAAAGGCCAGAAGAGGAAATGCCAAGAAGAGGAAGAGGATGATGTGTGCTCCGAAGAGCCAGTCCAGGCCTGGAAGAAGCTGAAACAGGAACAGCATGAAACAGAGCTTGGGTATGAAGAGCCTGACAAGAGCCGAATATGGACACCCCAGGAAAAGGGTCAGTTACAGCTAACGGCCCCAGAGTGTGCCAAAGGCCCTGAGGAAGAGGCTGTGACTGAGGAATCTGTGGATGGAGGCAAGGGTCTCAAGCCCCCCTACAGCAACAGGGAGGAAGGAGTTCAGAAACACCACAATGAAAAGTACTCAGGGCTGTTGGAACACCTCCAGCCTGATGTCCCGGTGAGCTCTGGCCCTCACAGCACTAACACAAGCACCATGGATACCTTGAAGAATATCAAAGGTTGCATTGAAGGGCAGAATCATGAATCGGAAACACCTCAAATCTGCACAGACAGTGTCAGCAATGGCATGCTCAACAGCAAAGTGTCAACACCTGAGGTCAAGAAAAAGGTTCTTGAAGACCAAGAGAAGGGCAGAGGGCTGGACCGTGGCCCTGATATCACAGTGGACATGGAGAAAGAAATCGACAGTGCGCTAGGCCCTGGGTCAAAAGATGAGATCTTGAGTTGTGCCTTCAAACTGCAAATTACTCGAGGAGATTTGTGGACCCTAAAGAACACCCAGTGGCTCAACGACAAAGTCATCAATTTTTACATGAATCTTCTCATGGAAAGAAATCAAAGTCAAGGCTACCCGGCACTTCATGCATTTAATACCTTCTTTTACACCAAGTTAAAATCTGGTGGCTACAGGTCAGTCAGAAGATGGACCCGGGCAGTAAACCTCTTTGCAAAGGAACTTATCCTGGTCCCAGTTCACCTCGGCGTGCACTGGAGCCTGGTGGCCACAGACCTAAGAAAGAAGAGTATTGTCTACCTGGACTCCATGGGACAGAAGAGACCCGACATCCTTGAGCTGCTTTTCTGCTATCTGCGGGAGGAGAGCAAAGCGAGAAGGAACAGCGACCTGAGCCCTGCGGAGTGGAAGCAATACAGCATGTCGGCAGAGGAGATTCCTCAGCAGCTGAACGGGGGCGACTGTGGAGTGTTCACCTGTAAATACGCAGATTACATTTCCAGGGGCCAGCCCATCACCTTCTCCCAGCAGCACATGCCTCTGTTCAGGAAGAAGATGGTGTGGGAGATCCTGCACAGGCGCTTACTGTAGCAGCGCCCCCTGGCGGCCACTGCGAGGCAGCTGCTCCGAGGTCTTTCTCAGGTGTGGCTAAGGACTCCAGGCAGGGGGTGTTGAAGAGCCTTGAACAAGTTCGGAGTGTAAAGACTGAGGCCAGGACAGCCACGGCTGCACAGAGAAACCCTGTCGGGACATAAACAACAACAGAAGATACGTGCGCCCACCGAAAGTTAGAAACTATTCAGCCTGCACAGCGCATGCTCACAAGCACGCGGCTTTCAAGATTTATCTGTGACTGAGGTCGACGCTGGATTGAATTTTGCGGTTCTTGTTCACAAGTTTTAGCTAACTGGCAGTGGACGGCTTCCGGTGCTTTTTGGCCTTTCATTCTCAACTGCTTGTTTGAATTAGTTATTTCTGAAAGGAATGCCAACCCAGTTGCCTGTCGCTGCTGCGAATCTCTGGTTGCCTTCCAGTACTGTGTGGTACCACAGAAGCTTCACAGTGTGGTGCTGTTCATGGGATGGGACCCGAGCAATCCAGGAGAAGTAAGAAACGCGCCGGAGACATTTCAAGATACTTTCCAGCCTGGAAGTGAAGAGATTTATTTTATTCTCGGAAGAGGAGTAACTAATGCTAAATGTGCATTTTAAACCCGGGACTCCTTGAAGCCTCACCCTGCTGAGGGCTGTACTAAACTGTTTATTCCAAAATAATAAATATATATATTTATATATATGTAAATAAATAAATATCTATATTTATTTATATATAAATAAAAATATATTATATATATTATATATAAATATATATATTCTTAAGCTATTTTTGAAGATGTTTTCTTTGTATATATTAAGCTGAAATTTAATATGTCATGTTAATATTTATATTCTGCCACCTTAGCCCCACTATTGGTATAAACTTAATATACTTAGTGTGAATATTGCCAACTACATGATAATCTATTTTTATACATGAAACTTTAATTTTTATTAGTAGTAAATCTTACATTTGTGTTGTTATTTAATAAAGTTTTTATTTAATAAAGTTTGGAGTTTTTTGAACATACTTTGCAAGATCCTGTGCCTGCTGTTCCTTGCATGGTGTAGTGAGGTTGTCCGAGAGAACTGGAAAGCAGATGTCCGAGACACGATTCAACAGTGTAAGCCAGAACCTGTTCATACATCTGCATGCTGAAATTGCTGTTGTTCCAAACCTCTGACGTGAAGACAGGACACTTTAGCCAAGACCTGTCCTCATCCTGGGAGAAGCTCAATATTGCAGCCAGGGCTGTCTTGAAAAACCAAACAGAACAACCAAAACAAAAAAATATGTGATATCAATACTTCAAAAATTCAAAGTTTTAACATAGTAATCAATGGAGTTCTGATACCTAAAATTACTTCTCATCATGTTAAAACCACCTCTGTCCAGACCTCTGGACAAAGAAAAGAATGTTGATGTTTTTAACATATAATAATATGTTAATTTTTTAAAAATTATTCATCTTTTGTAACTTAAAAGAATTCATGTGAGCCTCACGGAGTTTGCAACTTGGATCTACCTGTCACAGGTCAATTGAACTCCAATCAACAGACTAAGGTTCTCCAACTTTTGCCTGTTTCTGATGGTGGGTGTGTGTGTGGGAGCTCCAAATGTAAGATTTTCCTTTAAGTTCCTTAACTTTAGCTTCTGTCCCTAGTCTGAATATGTCTTGGCAGATTTCCGCTCACCTGACAGTCACCACCCAGGAACCAGGATCAGACTACAAACCACTCCAAAAGTGATCTACAGCACCCAAGCTCCAGGCAATCCTACGAAAGTGGAGAGCCTGGGCTTGCTAGGTGATGTGCTCCAGTCCAGCTGCCGTGATTGCTTCCTGTCTTTTACCTTGATCAGGAAAGCAGATGCTTCTGATGAATGTCCCATTTTCTGAATGAATGCCCTCCCAGGCTCTGATTAACATTGCAGCCTTCCTGGGCCCTACAATGGCATCCTAATTTCAGTTGAGACCATTTACAAAAGCATCTGTGTCACCCCTTATCCTCAACAAAAGTCTGAAAAGGTTCAGTCCAAAGGAAACTCTCTGGCAAGGAAGACAAATGGCTACTTGGAGTGCCTATCCAACAAACCAGGCTGGCTCATGCTGACCTCCAGGCTCCCTTGTTTGAAAAAAAGGTACCTGTAAAAACCAACTAGATCAAGATCCATCAGCAGGTTGATCCATTAGCTGAAGCAGTTTTGCAACATGATAGAGCACTCGCCATACTCTGTGCGGAACAAGGGTGTGATTGTGTGGCTGTAAGAGAAAATTGTTGTTCTATGCAAACCACTCAGCAATCATTAGAGATTCCTGTACTCTCAGGAAAACAAAAACAAACAAACAAACCCTATACACTACAATCAGAATAATGACCCAGAACAGGGCAAGCACATGGTTGCCATTCTCATTTCCTTGTTTTTCCGGGGGATAACTCTGTCTTCAGCTATTGCAGAACACCAGACACTTCTGCTTCTGCTGATCATCACTGGCTTGTGCATCATAAATGTCTTAACTAGATACAGACATTTCGGTCTGGGTGCCAGTATACTGATGTTTATTAAATCCCAGTGTGAACAGGTGTTAGGCCCACCGAGGGCCCAATTACCGGAGAGACAGATGAAGGTAACTTGGAGATGGATTGCCGCAAACAGAAGAGGTTTATTCAGGTCAATGAGTGATGGGGCTGCTTTGCAAGTCAGCAGGGAACAGCCCCGAGAGATAAAGGCATGGGGTTTTTAAATGAAAAAGCAAGGGAGGCGTGGGGGTTGCAAGCTTGGCAGTACGGGATTGGGTGAATGGGGTTATGGGGTAGTTGACTTTTAATATCATTGGTTCATTTTAGGCACCCAAGTCCAGTCAGGCCTGCCCCCAACATCTGGTGGATATCTGATCTTCAAGTTACACCCAGAATGTCCTGGATGGGAGAGCTGTGGCCATCTGGACCGGTTGCCAGGCACCCTATCTCATACTGCAGATCTGGACATTCTTCTGCAACAGGGTGGGTCTTGTCTCTATTCATCCGCTTCTCCTTTTGACCGTGTCCTTCTGCTTTCTGGAAAATTACCGGGAGAACTTAGTTTAATATGGGGTATAAAATTCATAAAGAAACCTGTAAAGCCAGCCTGTTCCTTTCACAGGTACCCACCACAGGGTCAAGAATGTGACTCAGGAAACAACTTAAGTGGGGGATGGAAGTGATGGTGAACATTGTGTTTAAAGTTACTGTGCTTAAGAGAACTCTAAAACAAAAAGCGTGTCTAGCCTGTAAGTCCTACTTGTCCAAGGACAGAGGAGCTCTCAGAATGCTAGGGGTTGTTCTTGTGATTGCCTGGTCTTGTTCATGGGAGATACAGTGTGGTCACTCCTGTGAACAAGCTTGCTTGCCCTTGACCGCACCTAGATGGAGGTGTCTGATGACATGCAGGCAGGAAGTTTGCTGTGTTCTTGCCTCTAGGTGCATAAGGCCAGGATGGACACAGCCTGTGAGCCTTTATAAACACATGACTAATGTAACTCGGGACTGCATCTTGAGAGCACTCAGGCACAGTCTTCACACCGTGGGTATCTGGTGCTAGCATCTGAAGGAAGTCTCTGCTTTGTTAAAATTTTAATAAATAGATAAACAAATAAAAACACTTTGTTTTCTGAAAGTAAGGAGATCTGTCTTATTTTTGGAAGTTGAGTGAAGTATTTCCAAACGTACATTTTCAACACAGGTATCTTTGAATATAAGCCTCAGCCTTGTTTTAAGTGCTGTACCGAACTGTTTATTCGAAAAAGAGTACTCAACTTAAAGCTACTTTAACATTTTTGGTACAGATTAAACTGAAATTAATTTGTTACTCATTAAGAGTATTATTCCACTTCACATCCTCACTGTGATTTAGTATTTAGCCTCAATAGTTCCAGTTTCATAATAATCAGTTTTACATGTAAGAGTTTAACCTTTTCTGTTCATTGCATAATTTATAATGGTATTATGAAGTCTTTATTTTATAAAGTCCAGAGATGTCCAGAACATACTTTATAAGATTATGTTCCCACTGTTGCTTTTATGATCCATTCAAGATTTTCTGACACAACCTAGGGAGCAGATAGCTAGGGGATAACCCATCAGCATTCCTGTCATTCAAGCATCCTACATCAAGTTCTGATTACAGCACTTAAGGGCTTTGTTGCCTGAAGTTCTCAAATCTTCCACATTTCTTCTGCAACTCACTTCCGAAGTATTAAGAATCACATGGTCAGGGTATTGTAACAACAGCCCAACTCCCAGTACCGATTTTCTGTATTAGTTCCTTTTCTTGTTTACTATGAAAATATATTTTGACAAAGCAAGGAGAAAGGACATATTGTATTCCACAATTCAAGGGTATAATTGATATATATAGGAAAACCTAGTTGGTAGCTGGAGTTCAAGCAGTTGGTCACATTGTGAAATGGGACCAGAATAAGTTCCTTTTCAAAGAGGTTTAGTGCCTGCATCCATCTTTTGACTAACCTGTAGCCCCCACTCCATTTTTAATTGGATTATTTGCTTTTTTGTTATCTAGTTTCTTGAGTTCTTTATATATTTTGGATATTAGTCCTCTATCAGATGTGGAGTTGGTAAAAATCTTTTTGCATTCTGTAGGGTGCTACTTTAATTGATAGTGTCCTTTGTATTACAGAAAGTTTCCAGTTTCATGAGGTTCCATTTATCCTAGTGCCTGTGCGATTGGTGTTCTGTTCAGAAATTCATCTCCTGTGCCAGTAAGTACAGAGCTGTTGCTCGCTCTTTCTCCTATCTGGTTCAGTGTATCTGGTTTTATGTTGACAGAACACAGTGGTATCTGTTGGTCTGGACAAGTTGTGAAAAGTATTTCCGTGAATAATAGTACTATTGAACTTTTAGCATGATTTCAGCAGAACCCATTGTAAAAGATTTTAGATTGCCTTTTAAATTTCCTCAAGCTCCTCCAAAGCATCTATTTTGCCTGTTTCCCTCCTTTTATCACAAATTCAATTCTGCAAAAAGGGATAGACTTGACACTCTTACAGATAAACACTGAAAATCCCTCTTTTTTTTTTTTTTTCATCCCCAGATCCAAGGTAATTGGCTGCTCGACTGATGGGACACATAGCAATCACCAGCCAAGATAGTGTCATCAAACTTATCTTCTGTAAGACAGCAAGCAGCAGTAAGCTAACAGCTCCAGGAACATGACCTGGTGCCTCAGGTGTTGCCAAGTTGACAACTGTTGGCTCCTAACCTTCCATGTTTACACTATCCTGCCAACTTCCTAGGATGAACACTTACCGTCCTGAACTCCAGTCACAGCATGGAGTTTGTTCTAAAGGCTGTGGAGCCATTAGAAGGGGACTGGCTGGCAAAGCAGGTCCTGTGAGACTTTTACACACCTCTCTGTAGTCTGGTGTTCTTCTACCTGGTCAGCTGTGATGCAAACAGTTGATGTATGACAGTTCTGCTAGCCTGGATACATCCATTCTCGCCTCCTTTCTGGCCTTGGTACCCTGAAGATGTCTGAAACTATGAGCCCAAATAAACCTTTCCCCACTTGTTCCTGTCGGCTGTTTTGTTACTATGTTAAGGACACAAATGCTTTTCATACTGAAAAGAGAGTATGACCAGTTAGTTGGCTTGAGCAAAATCCTCATGGAAACTGAAGTTTTTAATGTTTTTTTTTTTTTTTTTTTTTCTGACTGCAATAACCAGTGTTTTAACATATAATGCTGTTTCCCTAAAGTTTGCAATTTTTAATATTGGTACATAAAACAGAACGTGTTATCAAGTACAATGTTTTGGGACTATATACATTGTGTACTAGCCACAACTTGCTAATTCACATACAAATCACCTGAGTTGATACAGTTTGTGAAAGCACATCCACTCAGGCACCTTTCAATTATATTAAAATAATTTCCATGTTGTATAGTAGAGCCATTAAGTTCATTGATGCTATCTAACTTTGCAGCCATTGTTCAGCATATATCCTGCTACTGACATGACCAGATGTCAGCCCTAGTAAATAGTACTCTATCAGTTAGTTCTTACTTTTATTTTATGTGTCATATGCACTTATATGCATGGAAGACAGAACATGTCAGGACCTATGGAGCAATACTTACAGATGGCTGAGTGTGTGCCAGGCATGCTGGGCACTGAACTCAGGTTATATGCAAGAATAGTGAGCACTTTCACTGAGCCAGCACTCCAGCCCCTAAAGTGGATTAAAGTCAGTGAGCACGGTCAGTAAATGCTGGCTTCTTGATCTCGGTAGAACCGAATCTATCCACCCACCCACCCACCCACCCATCTATCTATCTATCTATCTGTCTATTTGATGTGTTTGTGTGTGCATGCTGGTGGGGCGGTCACATGACAGCCCATGAGACTCACTTCTCTCCTACCGTGTGGTTTCTGGGGGACTGCACTTAGGTCATCAGGCTTGGCAGCAAGCACCTTCAACCACTTAAGTATCTTGCCAGGTCAACCTCAGTAAAATATCGCCATTTCTTTGCTCTTGTATATAGCAGTAGCCAAAAGGAGAACATTTGGTCCCTTCCGTGAAGCTGAGCTGATGGAGCCGCCTTATCAGGTGCTGTACGTATTCACGCTTACGGACACACACTGACAACTAGGTATGACTAACCTTTATTCATAAAAATGAGCTTTCTAAAATATTAGTAAATTTCCTTTTTAGTTCTGTTTTGAAGTGTTGGTACCAGTGAAGTAACATTTTTCTTCTTTGAATCTTTTCTTGTAGAGTTACAGTCTTCTCCTTTTCTAAAATGGCAGGAAGCTCCTTCCAGTCCTTGATGAAGATAAAGGGGGCACCCATGGCCTTGAGTAACTGCAGAGGAGTGCTGTGGTGACTGGCCATGTCTCCACAGTGGCCAGCTGTCATCACATCTTCTACCACAGGAATGGAGCCAAACGAGCAGGCCTCATATATTCTGTAACACTCTGTGTTCACTCCCACAGGACACAAAGTGAGGTCACTCTGAAGCAAAGCATCTTGGTAATTCTTAAGACTTTCATTTGTTTCCTGAGGCTGCCACCTAGGAAATTAAACAAACAACAAAGAAATCCCTGTAAGGTTTTTACTTTCCTATGGCATCTTTTTTGAAGCAAATCTTTTACTGTCAGTTATCAAAATTGTGACCACATCATAGAGATGATAAATAGGAGAGGCACTGAAAATGTTGGACCAAACACATTTCTTAAAACTTCTTTAAGGTTTGGGGGTGTGGGTATAGCCCAGCTGCTAGAACTCAGACCTAGTATTGAGCATCATCTATCCATAAACTGGGTATATAATTCCCTAATTCTAGAAGTTGGGAGGCATAGGAAGAATCAGTAGTTTAACATCATCCTGGGCCAAATACCGAGTTTGAGGCCAGCCTGTGCTACATAAGACTGCCTAAAACAAGTTTTTTGTTTTGAACATTTGAAAATAATCTGAACATTTTATTACTGTATATTTAAAAATATCCGGTGATCAATCTTCGAATGGGTAGTATTCATTCAGTCCTATTTCCCGAGTGCTGTGTTCTCTCACCTTACTCTGATGCAGCTGTGCTGTATCCAATGGTGGGCATTAGGTCTTTCAGCTAAGTCAGGACATTTTCTAGAAAGTCTGAGGCCCCGTGAGGAAAAGCACAGAGGGGCTTCTGAAGTGACAGGGCTGCATTCTCGGATGGGTGATTACTGAATGTTTCACTGCCAAGGGCTCAGAATCAAGAGCTGCATGTGAACAGGCAGGCTGGTGCAGACATGGGGAAGGGTAGAGAATAAACAAAGATGAAGGCCATGCTTGTGCTTGGTATGCCCAAGAACTGGTAGGGAGGCCAGCGAGGTGGAAGTAGAGGAACTGAGGTGAGCAGTCAAAAACCATAAAGTCTGCTCACAGAAGACTCACCTGTAGTGTTCTGTTGAGGGAACGACAAGCAATAAACATTTTAACAATCAATCTGGCTGCAGTCTTGAGAATGGAATGAATATATAGGCCACATACATGCAGAAGCTGAGCCTGGCATTCTTTTCTATTTGTATTCTCTTAGTGAAATAAGCACCAGTCTCTAAAGGGAGACTGAGGAGGTGTCAAGAGGTTAGGACAGAAGGTATAAAGCAGTCTTTGAGGAGGAAGGGAGAATACGTTAGGAAATACATGAGTGATGGGTTCTTCAGCTTTCAAATTGTATAAACTTATGCACAGCTGCGTGAGTATGGCTATGGAGTGGGCAGAAGGGGAGACTAGACAGGTAGGGCTCGCTAGATGGGGGAATTAGAAAGGGGAACATATATGCAGGGATGGTTGACTGTAGAATTTAAGCTGTGTAATTCAGGAGTTGATACAGGGACAGTAAGAACAATCATGGGATAGTAAAAACCATGTTGTAAATTCCAGCTGAATTGTGGAGTCCCATTATAGAGAATGAGTTGGAATGGCAAGATAGGATGGTTACCAACAGAAATGCTAGAATTCGAGATCATGAAGAGACCTTGTGGTATGTGAAATGCAAGTGGTCATTTAGGAAATGACCATAACAGGAAATGGCTGAGCGAAGCCTATGATCTATGAAGGGGAGAAAGGAAAAAAACCTTATCCCAAGGTGACAGAAGGATTGCCTAGACTTAGAAGTCACCAAGAATCCAGACAAGACTGGTGTCAGCCAGAGGGGCACTGGAGCTCCAGTCTTTAAGGAATCAGGGAGGTAAGGCGAAGGTGAAGGCTCAGGGCTACAGAGTTCCAGTTACACACACTGGCATGAGACTGAGAACTGGGGTTCCGGGTGCGGAAGGACAGAATGGTCTAGAAGCAGCAGGAGCACAGAGGGTACTACCTGACCTCTAGCTCAGTTCAACCAGAACCATTTTATTAGTGCTTTTCCTCCAGTAAGACTTTCCTCTCTCATACCACCTCTCACTCACCAGCCCTTCAGCTGCTGTGTAAGCACCCCCATGCCTTATGTCCTTTGCTTTGGCTCCTCTCTCTAAATGGACACTGTTCTCTCTTTCGCTACTTGAAAACAAATGTTCTACCCTCCACCTCAGTCCTCTCTGTGGCCTTTTTATCTTTAATTCTTTTCTTACACGGCATTACCATCTCCTGACACACACTGTTCTACTTGTCTCCTCCAACAAGTGCTATGAGGGCAGTGTTTCTGTTTTGTTTTCACTGTTATTATAAGTAAGATGGTATCTGGCCTTTGGCAGTTGCTTGGTAACTCTGAGTAAATGAATTTAATACAATTACATTAACAGTAATTGTATTAAATTCATTGTAATTAGTGATATCCATCTAGAAGGCAATTTCTGTCACAATTAAAAAATAAATTTCTCAATCTAGAAGCATATGTTTTAGGCATCCATTCCCTGGGCACTCAGCTTTATACTTCATGTGTTTATTTAATAGCAAAAGAAATTATTGCAAAATGACTTCCATTACTCCATCAATACTTGCTTCCTGATTATAATGGGAAGGCTGGAGAAAAGCCAGTTTCCTAAGTTTTAGTGACTGCTGTACCTTCAGACAGGAGGCTGGAATAAGCAGTTACCATTGTTTCTCTGGAAACCTATTTGTACACAAGGTGACATTCAGATTGGAGAGCAACAGGAAGGAACCATACAAACATTAAACTTACTGCTCTCTTGCAGAAACCCAACAAAGTTTATCACTTCCATCTTGTTTCAAAATGTTCATTAGTGCTTGTCTTGATGAATTTTCATAGACAGTTCCTAAAAAATTACATATGTAGGGCCTCTCATCATGCAGCATCGACCAGCTGGCTTCAACCACAGGAAACTTTCTATATCTATAAAAGCAAGTAGTGAATTACTATATGGTAGGATGCCCCACAGTTTGGCTTGTTAAGCCATGTGTTAAGGACAATGGTTTCTAAGCACATTGTACACCACAGACATAAACAGTCCTATTAGTCCACTAAAAAGAAAATATACTGTTATAATCATGAACTCTGAAAAGTTAATTGCAAAAAAATTCCAAAGAATAAAACAATGAATAAAACCTGTGTTGGTATAACGTTCTTTTGAAATGTATACACCTTACCCTTGTTCATTCAAATGCTGATTCCCCCCCCCCCCCCCCACAACTGTCTGGTTTCAATCCGGATCTTGCCTTGTAATACTTATTTTAAGCATCCTGTCTCAACTGTGTGTAAACAGGCCAAAATAAAGAAATTAGACACAATGTTGAGCTGGGAGGAGCCAGAGGACAGGAAAGACGGGAGGAGACAGAGGGCAGTGGGAGGAGAGGAGAGCTAGGAGAGAGAGCTGGAGGAGAGATCTTGGAACTACATGGAGATGGACTGGACATAATATTTCACAAAAAGCAAGTATAATGTGGGAAATCTAAATGTTAGGAAACTGAGGGCTTGGAGGTTTAGGACAGAGTAACTATTGCCCATCATTGTGTTCTAGGTTAACTAAAAACCCAGTGTCTGTGTGGTGATATGGTTATACATCTGTTTAGGACTAACAGCAGTGTTACTAGAAGATATATCAATAGTAAATATTAATCACCTATTACAACAAACCTATTATTATACAGAGGAGGCTCATTCCATGGGCACTGGTTTGCATACAAATGTATGCCCGTAGTCTATGCTGTACACAAGATTATTATGGCATTTTGGGTCAAATAACTTTTTGTTTGAAAGAGTGCCATAGACTGCACCATGTTTAATAACATTCCTGGGCTCTACCCACTTGACACCAGTTGATTTAATTCCCCCTCTTCAGTTGAGACAACCAAAAGGTTTCCAGATGCTACCCAATGTCTTCTCATTGGGAACAGGATGAGGCTGGCAACACCAGAATTACTATGCTTCTGTCTTCTATTAGGTGAGTAGGTGATGTCATACAATGTGGAAAAAGTATAAATATTTCTACAAAAACAGGCTCTTTTCAATAAATAGATTTTTCTGAAGGTTGGGTGTACTTACAAAGTATTAGAAATTTTAAGGCTGGTCCCAGCTTAAATCTGTTCACCTGGAATGTTGTCCATGTAGGGGTGGGAATACCTGTCACTGGCATTTCTCTAGTGACATCTGTATAGCTAAAGCAGTCTGAATCTACAAATGGTGGTAACCAGTGACATAATAACGAATGTTGGATTTAATTCTATTAGTGAGATGATTCATTTCCTCAACAAATATCTGAGTACCTACCGTGTATAAGCATTATTTTAAAATTTACTTTTTTTTCATTTATGTGTATATTAGTATATTTGTGTGCTTGCTTGTCTCCATGTGTAGCCAAGCGCCCACAGAGTTCAGAACAGGGATTCAGAGCCTTGGAACTGTAATCATACATGGCTATGAGACACAGCATGTGGGTGCTGAGAACTGAGTCCGAGTTTCCTATATGAGCAGTAATTGTTCTTAACTGCTGAGCCACCTTTATAGCCCATTTCTATAGAACTATTTTAAATCAGGGAAGAAAACTCCTGACCTCAGAAAGTTTATATACTACTGAGAGCCTATCTCTTACTATTAAAAATCTATCCACAGAAAGTTTAAAAAATGTTTTCCATTTTTTTTTAAACTGGAGGATGATTATATATTGAGGACCCTAAACTATCATTTAATTAACCTCTGCTTTTACAGTTGAGATTAACATCAAGTCAGCCAATAACAAACCCAAGGGAAGTCTATACAGTATATAAAAATATTGCCACAACAGTATTTGTTTTCACTAGAATTATGGCTCTTTGTTCATTCTCTGCTAAACATCTCTTTAGGACACTAATAAGCTTAAAATTTTATCCTATATCCATTTTTAGAACAAACAAGTACTCTTCAGTTCTCCTCAGAAGATGGTAAATTACAACAAAGCAGTTACTATTGCCACTGAGGCTCGAGGCCACTCTTTTTGATAATAGGAAAGATTGGCCTGCCTCATCACCAGTGAGCTTATTGCCATTTAAAACACCATCTTCCCTGTTCAGAACACCCCAGGGATGCCTTTCTTATCTTGTACTTACGTTGCTACACCTAAAGGCCACTGGAAAACATCTGCGCCATTAATCCAAGGGCTGTCGTATGTTATGAAAAGCAGGTCCACAAAGCCTCCATTTCTTTTGAGGAACTGCATTATCCAGTCATTGTCACAGTATTCATTTCCAAGTAAGACAACAGCCAGATGCCGCAGTTTCTGGGTTTGCATTAAATTCTGTGCATAAAGTAACCACTGGGTGGCATGGGAGATCTTTGCTTTTTCTCTTCCATTTAAAACAAGGACCACATTGTCCACGTCTATGGAGAAGTACCCTGGAACCACACCCGGGCCAGTGATGAAGCTGTCAAAAACAACACACCGCAAGCAAGAGATAAACAAAACTGAACAAAGGAAATTTCAATTGTTTTATATAAAATCTAGAATAAGATTTAATTAATATTCTCGTTGTATAATGCAAGTTCTTCTGAGCAAGGGGGACAGAATAATAGAAAGCTTTGGATGTAGAAATTCAGCTAGTATATGAGAGTGGACTATCATTTCTTCACTGAAGGCAAGGCATTAAGATACAATGTAAAGGAAAGCATCAAGCTTCAGGAGATTAACATAATTAAAAGGCTTTGTGTGCACGCGTGTGCCCATGCATGCATGTGTGCCACAGTGTGCTTGTGACAGCCAACTTGGAGGAGCTGGTTCTCTCCTTCCCCCATGCAGATCTTGGGGTTGAATTCAGGTGGTCTGAGTTAAGGGCAACCACTTTTACCCGGCAACTCATCTAACCAGCCCTTAAAGGATAATTTTATGTAAATATGAAAGTACATAAAAATAAGTATTGAAAATACTTATATATTACCTTCCATCAGTAGAAATATAAAAATTTGAGTGAGAGTATACACTAAATTCCTAAATAGCAATTCTTTTTGAGGAATGAAGAATAAAAAGAGTAGGAAACAAAGAAAAGGCTTTTATTGGAAACAATTCTGTTAGGAGGAAAGTTAAATATAAAGAATTCCTGACAGCTGAAACATATTAAGTCTGAGTGGTTAGCAAGTGGGAGTATGTTATATTTTCTTCTTTGCAATATATTTTTAAAAGTCTTCATAAAAGGAATAGACATGCTCCATAACACACTGTCATCACTGCCCCACACAATCACTGCCCCAAAGTGTTCTGAACTTTGTTAGTCAAAGTGCAAGGGAATGAGAAGTTGGGAAGTGAAAACAGTGAGTGTGGACAACTGTTCTGAAATTCTGGATGAGGATCAAAGGAAAGCAGTGGGGGTGGAAAATAAAGGAAAGAGGCAGTACCTGACAGAACATGGTCTTAGAAGAGAACGATGGAATGCACAGAACATCTTGGAGTAGGGAAGTTCACCTCCTAGAGAGCTCAGGGTGAGTGAAGGCTCCAAGAGAGAATGGGTAAAAATGCCTGAGCATCTAGTTAAGGGCGATAATTACGGATGCTCTCACTCTCAGTGTGCTAGGAATAAGAATGTGCGCCCCACTCCCTGTCCATGTGGTGCTGGGAACCAAGCCCAGATCTGCGTATGCTCAGTGAGGGTTCTAACTGAGCTGTATTTCCAACCCCTAGCTACTACATTTAAAACATGAAAATTTCCTACTGTACACTAATATTATAAAAGCAAGGCTTGTGTATGAGTTAGTATAATGTACAGAAGGAGTGCTGTGTTTTAGTCGCCTAAAGTTATTACTGAAAAGCCATTCACTGAAAATAATCATGTACAGAATTCTAATTTGCTCTTGCGGGTTACTTAGCATATGTGTAAGCACCAGAACTTGATTTTCAATATATTTTTCTACTGCTTGCCTCAACTGAAAAATGTCTTCAGAGTAAACACCTCCATATAGAGAGCCCAGAGAAATAATTTCCGTCCGAAATAACTGTGCAAACAGTGTATTTTTGGAATTCACTTAAGTTAGTACCAGTGTAATTTGATTGAGACTACAACTTGCAATTCCATAAGACTTCATTAATTTTGGATACATTATCTACTACTTTTCATTGTTTAATAAGGTATTTTAAAAATCTGTCACAGAATTTGAATACAAAGTTCTCTAAGAGGAAATAACACGGTTTCTTCCATGATGACGTAAAATCTTGCATACAAACCTCAGAAAGGTAAACTGGGCTTAGCCTTTCTTGGTGGTAGTTAACGATGTTTTGCTTTAATCCCTTTTCTATCACTGTGGTAATACCAAGTAATTATAAGCTTAAGGATGCCACGCATGACTTTGCCTTCAGTGAAGAAATGAGAGTCTCACATATTCCATTCTATATACTAGTTGAATTCCAGAAACTTCTCTGCAATGTTAGTCCACTGACATGTTCACTGTTCAACTACAAAGACAGAAAGCAATTTATGCATGCAATAGACATTCACTTTTTTTTTGGACTGGCCATTGAACCCAAGGTGTTGCACATTCTATGATAGCCTTCCTGCCACTAAGATCCACTTACTCTTTCAAGTAGTGAAATCTAACAAGTGTGAAGTTTAGGAGTATACACACAACCTACAATGAGATTAGAACAATGAGGCTAAATACCTGTTTTCATGTATGATTCCTTTGAGAGATTCAAGCAATGACAGGCTAGCGAGCTAGCTGAGTTGGTAAAGTGCTTGTGCCGTAAGCATGAGGACCTAAGGACAATTCTTGAACTAAGATATAAGGCTGATGTCGTGATGGAGAGGCAGATCCCTGGTGCTAACTGTCCAGACATCCTAGCCTAATCACTAGGCTTCTACGAGAAACCTGTTCTCAAAACCAGCTGGTAGCTGCAGGCTGCTGAGGTGGGTATGTGGGCACACATGTGAACATAAAGTTGAAGGGAGAAGTGGTGGGTTGTACAGAAAAGGAACTGGAGGGGAGGGAATGCAGGTTGGACTGGATCATGTATTCATGATCTAACATGTATTCATGTACTCATGTATTAACATTATATAAAATATTTAATTGAAGACAAACAGGGACAAGTCGGGTTCGGTGATGTACACCTGTAATCCCAGCACTGAGGAGGCAGAGGCAGGCAGATCATTGTGAGTTTGAGGCCAGCCTGGTCTACAAAGCGAGTCCAGGGCAGCCAAGGCTACACAGAAAAACGCTGTTTTGAAACAACAATAACAAAAACAAAGTAAACATGTAAAAACAACTAATATTTATTTCTGTTAAAAGCCAACTGGAAACAGTACCTTCATGATAAAACTATGTTTTTTCTAATTAAAATCATCTTAATTCTATTTGAAAATTAAGAAATTATACAGTGATAAGTAAGTTAAATAAAAGTAAAATCCTTGAAAGTCTTGGCAATGCACTGGTTTTTTAGAATCTAAAAATCAAAACAGAAACAGTTTTGAATTTTGGAAAAAAAAGGGAGCCTACATAATTACGTAAATCATAGTAGATATGACATAAAATGTTTTAATAAGTAAAAGTTGTTCTCTGAGTATTTCCAGGTTAACATAAGTACAAATGAAAAGAAAATCATGAAAGTAACGTTTACGTTCGTCCTCTAAGGTCTAGAACATTGTGTTCATTTACCAGCCAAGTGTATGAAATGTGGAACGTGAAGTTTTCCATATCATCAGCTAAAACCAAAACAGAAATAAGACTCCCCAAAATTTATTTACAGACTTTTAATTTCTTTCTTCTCTGCACTGGGGACTGAACCCAGGGCCTGGCACATGCCAGGCAACTGATCTGCCACTAAGGTAGGTCTCCAGCTTTCCCTCTAAAATTACTTTGAAATGTCTAATTTAATAAGAAAATGTTTAATGTGTAAGCAGGATTTATTTATTTATTTATTCCCAGGATTGATTTCTGTATTCTCCCCAAGCCGAAACATAAAGATCTAAAATAGGTTTATAAAAGTATAAATATACTATGCATACTATATTATAAAAATATAGAGTATACTTATGAGAGTATATTTTCCTCTGGTAGGTACATGAAGCGTCATGCAGCAGGCAAGGTCAGTGTTATCTAACAGTACCTGTACTGTGTTCTTCCTACAATCAATTGTCCTTCCCTCCATTGCGCAGTCACATCCGGGGGATCAAGAGTGCCTTCGAAAATATGTTCCCACAGATACAAACCTGGTAATCAAAGAACAAAACCAGACACATCTGCTGTCTTATCCGTTTTAGAATGTTAGGAAAAATCTATGTTTTATTCTTTTCTCTTTTGACTCTGAGCTGAGACGTTTCTCTCCATGGTCGGTTGCAGGCGGTGACCAAGACAATCCTCGGTCATGTGTGGCAGCTTACTGTATGCGGGGCAGACCTAAGTGGCTGTAGTTGTAAAGATGACAGGACATTTTACTTATACCGAGGAACCCCAAATGTCACTGAACCCTTGCTACCCATCATATTCTGAAGCAAAATATATATTATAAACTAAAATACCATCATTATTAGAATTAATTTAATACCGTGACAGGAGAGACTACAGGTCTTGTGCTGAAGCCACAAAAACACCAAAGCATTCAGTGTGTCAAGGGGATAGATATCACCTCCCCATTTGCTCAGACATCCTTGAATGCGTGATCCCCTCTGCAAGCTGACACTTCATCCTTTCTCCTAAGGGCAACCACGATGCTTTCTTTCGTTACATGAGGTATGCAGGCCTACAACCTCTGAGAACCCCTTGTCAGTTTTTTTGAACGATATTCTTTGGTCCATTTCCATTATGCCATGCTATTAAAGCCATACTAACAACCAGTGGGAAAATGTGGGCAATAGGATAAAACATCCAAATGTGTTAGGCTAAATAATGTCCCGCTTCTCCATGTCATACCTTAATCTCTAGATCCTGTGAATACTATCTTACACAGCAAGAGCGTCTCAATGAGACTTAGCTGCTGAGATGCAGAGCCTTCCAGAGACACACGAAACTCCCGCCTTGAGGAAGGCAGAACCTGTAACGTTCTCAATCGCTACATCTACATATGGCAGTTCGCTACAGCAGCCTCAGAAAACTGTGCGATGTGGGTAGAACACGGTCCCTGGAGGGGAGGTGCCACTGTAACAAAGTTACATGAGGAAGGGGCTTGGAAACTGGGAAATGGGGGTGGCTGGAAGAACTCTGAAGAGTAACTTTTTTTTTGTAAGCAAAGTCTACTTTAGATTGCCTGAAACAGACTGCAGAATAATTCAGATGCTTACAGTTCATTTAGTGAGCAAGACTCAGAAGAGAGCAAGGAACACAGTAGAGAAAACCTACATTGCTTTAAGAACAGACTTCCTGAAACTGACTTCATGAAAGGAAATACACAATCTAGCAAATTCCATACCAGGACAGGTCACATTTTACACTGTCTTCTCATGCTTTTCCTCTTACACTGACTTACCAATGGCCGCTTTGCCCCAGATTTGTACACTGTGTTCGTGTTTCTCTTTTGTGGATTTGTTTAATATTTGCAGGCTAGTTTTAATTCTCTGTTGCTGCTCGTCTTTTTCATCTCCTTCCCAAGGATTCCACTCTTCACTCTCCAAAGCAGACTGTCCTGTTTAAAGAGAGTGTGTTTACTAGTGTGGGGTAACCGCAGAAAGTCAAGTCATTTAAACGAGATGCTAGTCTCCTAGTCTCATCTAATCTTCACCTTTCAGAGACAACAAACCATCAAATTTGAAGCCTACAAATGAAAAGAAGAAAATGAGCCAACCCATCTTAGAGATTTTTAAAAATTTTCATGTGGGACGGGACAAACCTTTAGAAAACCCTGCGCGACATCTATCAGGCCACACGGTTCAGATCTGGAACTGTTTACTGGCTTTCTATAAGTAACCTATTAGCAAACGGTAACCCTGGCACGCCGTCTCCACCAATTTCACACACTACCGGGCCAGAAAACTCGGCGCGGGGGGAGCGGGGAGGTCGCAGCTGGCCCGCCCGCTCCGCGCCTTCAAGGCCCGCGCCCAGCCTCCGGGGGGCCACCGGGGCGAGGCCACCGGGGCGAGGCCAGCCTCCGGCCGCCGCTCCGCAGCCCCGAGCCCGCGCGGTCCGCCCGCGCTCGCGGCGGGGCCGCCAGGCCGCC